TGATTCTTTTATTTTCAGAATAGCATTGAATGAATAATTTTTTTATTCATACATCTTTCAATATATCTCGATCTTTCAATAATACACATCTTCCTACCGATGACTACTACAATGCAGTGGCTAGTGGAGGATGAGGTGTCAATAGAAGTTCTATTTACCACTGCTTCTGATAAGTTAACAATTGTTTCCGATTGAACAAAATGGCTTGCTAACCCTTTCAGCCCAGACGAAGATTGATGATCTGAATTGATCTAGCTTTTACTGTGTAATTTAATTTTCTTAAGTTAAATTTTAAAATAGTCGATTATTATTTTGAAAGTATTATTATTTTGTAGATTTTGATTGCTTACTTTAAGATTATTTAAGAACTTACTTTTAATTCAAATTATGATATTTAATGAATGGCTCCTTCATAAATCCTTACGTACATTACAACTTGGATATACCAGCCCATTGCCACTTCCCTTTAATAATGTTTGTGATCTAGGTTCTCCGTCGGAAACCTTGATTACGAATCCTATCCACTAGACTAGAGCATAGCCTATTTCCATCGGTTGATCGGTGATTTTGAAGACTACCTTTTGGTTTTAAAATTGTAATTGTGTTTATGAAAGTTACTGTCATAGTTGTCATAATACTTATTTTGTAGTAGAACTACTTTTTTGACTGAGAGACCGTATAGTTTGATGCTACTCTCTTATCTATATCTGATGCCACGCTGCAGTACACCCACTACCGAGTTTGATGGTCAAGAGAATTTGTATAGTTTTTGTTTCTCTTTATTTGTAATACCCAGGGGTGACACATAATATTGAGATTAATATATAACTTAACACTGTGAGTGCTACGTGCTACGTGTTCATCCTTCTACAGATTGCCACAACTTATGTAATTATTTAGCGAAGTGAATTAAAAATAAAAAAAACAAAAGAAACCGATAATACTAATACACAGTAAATCTTAAAAGTAAATACAAAAAGAAATTTCTAAGCATTAACCAAATGTACTTTTAGGTACTTCATAAAAAAAATGTGGAGGATAAAGCTGCATAAGATAGCACGGAGTTCAATCATTCCAAGCTACTTTAGTGGATCTTTCGAAGATTTGCTAAAGCCTACTGATTTAACCGGTTAGAGGAGCGACTAGCCTTAATGATCTCGCGCGGGTTATGTTATAGAAAGGTTTCAATAAAACTAGTTTCTGCGGGTTTATCGCGTATATTACCTCATTTTATATTCATGATGTTTCGAGCACATAACAGCACTCACTGTTACGGGGGAACTGAGGTGCTTGATGTCCCAATGTCATAGTTAACCACGGCTACCTCCAGATTTGAATTATTAATTTTTGTTACGTTCTACGCAGTATGAACTTGTAGTATCTTTAAGTCTTGTAGTTGTATGCTTGTTTTGGTATTTAATTTTAATAATTATAGGATCCTAAGCAGATGATAGCACCCAACCATCTTCTCTATTTAAATTAGGATGTTCTTTGATTTTAATAGCCTCGCGAATCATCCTTGGAAGGAATCTGTGTTCTTTAGCGAGGATTTGTGGTCTACCAAATATGATGTAGTGACGGGGGCGATGCCGTTCATGATTACAGATTGCAGACTTCCGCGAGCATCGATTCTTCACATCAGCTGTGTGTTCTTTTACGAGGGTTTTTATTGATATTTGGTTTGTCCTATGTAAGACAGACTACATTCACAATCAAGCTTGTATAATCCTTCATTTTGCAGAGGAACATTACACTTGACTGATGTTAAAAACTGACTAATCTTCTTCGGCGTCTTGAAGTATGCTTTAATGCAAGCACGCTTCAAGATGTAGCCAATCTTGTCAGTGATACCTCTAAAATATGGGAATACAGCAGGCATACGCTCGACTGTGGCTGGTTTCACTCGTTCACTGTGATGTAGGCGCGGGACTCGAAACATGTTGTCTTGCAAAACTTGCTTGAATGTCGCAGTCAAGCAAATTTTACTGTCGCAGATCCTTCGTGTTCTCTGAAACAAAAATTTACCCACGGTAGCTATGTGTGAAGTATAGTGGTGAAAATCACCGTTTAAATATCTTTTTGCATTGGTCTTTTTTCTATACACAGTGTAGCTCAGGATGTTATCAGGATTCCGGATTACTAAAACATCTAGAAAAACTAAAGAATTGTTTGCCTCTAACTCCATTATGAACTAAATTTTAGATTTTATTGAGTTAAGATGGTTTAAAAATGCGATTACTTTATCTAAAGGTACAATTGTGAAAATTTCGTCTAGTACCGCTTGTAGAATTTTTTTTATATGATAGGGTGACAAACGAGCACGCAGTCCACCTGATAGTAAGTGCTTGCTGTAGTCCATAGACATCTACATCTATCCTCGATTACAAATCAAAATGCAGATGCGTTGTCACCCGAGAAGACTAAGATGGAATGCCTTTCAAGTAAAAAGCATTAAGCTACTATTTGACGTTGGAATTCTGTGAGAGCGTGGTCCTTCCCCGGTCGAGCCGACCCATTCGTGCTACAACTATACTACTAATATAACTGTAGCATGGCTCTACCACGTACGAATAATATTTATAGATTATGAGGCATTTCATCTTAATGAGACAGAATCATGGCTTTACGGGAGAAGTAAGCAGGGCAGTGTCGGCGACAATGGAAGATACAGTAGAGCTCATTGCCACACCTTGCTACTCTACTTGCTTTTAGAACTACTCTTTCCACAATAGGTAGCCAGATGTAAGTCAGTGTCTGAGTAAAACGGCATATTCTACGGGCATATTGTTTTCTTCCAGCTATCTAGTTACAATTGAGATGCAGTCTTCAGATGCATGCTCAGGTAAGGATGTAAGCAGTGACTGCACAAAAAAACTGACCATAGTTTCATTGTCTACCAGATGTAGGTCTTTAATCTCGCTGATAAAATGGGATCTCTTGCATAGGACAAACAAAAAGATCAATAAAAATCCCTGTTAAAGAACACAAAGCAGCCGTGATCATTGGTGCTATATTTTATAGAACTCGAAACGTCGGGAATATAAAATAAATTAATACACGCGATATAATCCGTAAAAATAGTTATCTTTATTGAATATTATACAATAACATGCTTATACCCATGACTTCGTCCGCGCGTAACGTAAATAAAAACAAGCCTGCAGATCTATGATAGTTGTGCTAACAAATATAAAGCCACACGAAAACAAAATTCGGTACAGCTACTGTTTGTGGATTCTTTTAGTTTATATTACATAAATCTATTAATTTTATGACACGCTTGTAAATGCTTACAGGTTAAAACTTGAAACTAGACAACGGATAATGCATTATGTCTATTTCTATGGATTTTGGCATAATGTTTATAGATTATGAGGCATTTCATCTCCGATTCCGATTTTTCCGAATCAACACTGATTACCGAGTCTGTCTATTCTGTTTTATTTTATTGTCTGCAGAACCATCATCATTTTTCCAACATTATAAAGCTGAGTGAATATTTACATTTCTTATCGACAATAACAGGTTATTAGTTTATATTAAATTTTATAACATCGTCAGAATATGTAACATGTCACTAAAACTTAAGAATAAAGACTTTTGACCTTGAATAAATTGGTCTGACTGAGAGGACAACAAATGAATGATCAATTCGGGCTCGCAATTACTAAACTCAATTAAAAACGAAATTCACGTAAACGAAATTTAAATGGAAAAAATTAAAAATGTTGACGAAGCAAGGTAGGATTGCTTCATTAGTCAATGAATTTAAATGAAATCCAATGAAGTAAAAACGCACTTTTAACCTTTTACTACCTATTTAAAAATATGTTTACGCTTTTTGGAATTGTGGAATGGGTCGCTCAAAGTGTTGTTGAGAGGACAATGCTTCGAGTTTCTCTGCCTGATAGAAATCAATACGAAAAATATCCGTAGTAGAGTACTTATCCGACACAGCTCAACAGATCTGTAAGCCGAAGTGGCAATTTGACGGCAATAAAGCTCGAAAAACCGACAAAAGTTAAAGTCTCTAGTAGCAGCCTTTGTATCGGTTAGTGACTCCACTAGATGAAATGACGAGCCTGGTATGATATGCAGGAAGTCGGTAGACGCAGGTGCCTCAAGACCGTGCTAAGTTTTATTTCTTTGGGGAGGCCTTTTCTGTTTAGTTGACTTGTGAAAGCTGTAATGATGACGGTGATAATTTACCAGAATAAAGTATTTTTAATACAGTTGATCGGATAAATGTCTATACAAGTCAATAAAATAAACTACATAAAAACTTTTACGCCAGAGTGATTATATTGAAGCTTAGTCCGAGATAACTTGTTATAGTATCGTCTACACCTTGCTCGATGAACGCGTCCTTTTAGAGTAGATCTAAAACAAAAGGTTGCAACACGAACGCAACCTTCATTACAAAAAAAAAATTTATTTAACGGGGGGAAAACCAAAACCCCTAACGCTTCTCAAGTCAAATGTCATTGGGTGCGTTTGGCAGAAAAAAGCGCTAGCAAGCGCTTATAAGCGCTGAAATAGTTTTCGGCCAGGACGCGATTGCTACTTCAGTAGCGCTGACACAATCCGCCATTTTGCTTATTTATTTTGTTTGTTTTCAAGTAGAGTTTATAAGTTGTTTTGTGCAATATTAGTTTTAAGTAATATAATGACATGAATAAACATATAAGTACATGTTATTAAAAATTCATGATTGGTAAGTTTTTAATATGAATACTTTACAAACATATATTTAAATTAGGTTAGGTTCCCCGGTTAAAACTAACATCGTGTCCTGGAGGAAAGTAGCTACTTACGATTTGACAGCGCTTACCGCTTACGATCGCTATTTTGCTTACAAGCGCTTGCTAGCGCTTTTGGACTGCCAAACGCAGAATTAGTTTCGTTTTGCCGCGTTTGTTGAACGATCATCAATTTATATTTTGCGCAGTACTAAGTTTCGAAAGTTTTTGTACAAATTATTTGTTTTACATTGGTTTAAAATGCCTAAAAGACAAAGGGAGTCAAAAGAAGAACGTTTAGAAAGGAAGTTGAACAAATATAAAAAGAAATATGAACGTTGTAAAAGACGTAAAGTCGAACATTCAAAAGATAATAGAAACGAAAATGAGGTTGGCGATGTTGGTAAGTCTGCTTTTATTATGACTCAAAGTTTTATAAAATTGTTGGAAATGAATCCAATTTATATGGAACTTTAAAGATATAATATATTATGTACTATTTCAAAGTTAAACAAATCGTTTTAAAAGATCATGTTGGCATTTAGACCCTGAATGTTTTATAGGGAATTAAAAATAAGGTTTACATATCCTCCAACCAAACCTCCAACACACAGGGTATGTTCCGAAATACAACGCAGTGTACTGTCCAATGCAAATGACGTCATGAATCGACGCTATACTGGTGATTCGTTCCAAACCATTGGACAGTATATGACGTCATACTTTTGCGCCATTTGGAAAAGTGTTGGCGATTATTTTGTCATTTTGTGCTCCAAAAATCATTATATCCTCCTAATGGATATACCATCAATTACTCTATAAATTTTTGTATTTTAATAAATAGAAACAAATTCTGGCATGCTTCATTCGGCAAACACACCATTAAAAATTGTTTTATTATTGCCTGATATACGACACAATATGGAGGTTGCACGCTAGAACAATAAAGTGTCAAATGATACGTCATTTGCATTGGACAGTACACTGCGTTGTATTTCGGAACATACCCACAATTTACTGTCTATAAACATTTGAGACTATCCCGTGGGGCATAGTCACGACTTTCCCGTGGGGTCACCAGTCCAGTCGGCCAGTCATAATATAAAATAAATAAATAAAATAAATAAATGATTTCTTTCAGTAAATCTTTTACAATTAGTTTGCCAAGGCCTCCCAGAAAGTAATCATAAGATACATGTGTTGGGAGAGTCTCGCTCTTCCTATGTAATCATAACAACTTAGATTTACATCAATATATCATCAAAATAGCCAAATTTTAATATGCTTAGTTATATTATGTCACAAACTCATAAAGTGAGTGTCGCTTTTGACCTATCCCGTGGGGATAATAGTCATGCCATACCACAAATATGGTCCTATTATATACCCTTAAAGTAAGTGTCACTATTAAACCATAACATTGGTACTATAGTTAAAAACTATAAGTAATTTATGGGCTTTACATCTCTAACCAATGGGAGAGTGAAATGAAGGCAAATATAAGAATATTTGCATAATGTATATACCTATACTATTATAATTATTAAATTTCAGTGGAAATTATTGAATCAGAAGAGATTATTCTTGAAAATATTGAACCAGGGGAGGAGGAGGAGGTAGAAATAATGGAAGTTAAAGAAGAACAGTTAGAAGAGGATATTATAGAAGCCATGGATCCTCCAGTTAATACTCAATCTTCTCTTGGTCAACCAATACACCCTGAAATATATAAAAGAGTGGAAGGCATTTTGATGGAAGTTTTGAATAAGGAAAAAATTTAAACATTTATCAAAGAACAATTAATACCGGAAAATGCCATTTTGTTAAGCACCATTACTGAATCCTGAATTAGCGGATTCAGTTAAAACAAGAGACAGGATTAGCCACAGGTTCTTTATTAAAATGTATAGATAATTTATCAAAACAAACATTTAAAAAATTAGATATAATTAAAAACATGATAGAGGCGGCCAGAATTCTAGCCCACCTACCCTCAGAAAATACAGTGATAAGAAAGAATCTATTATTACCACATTTGGATAAAACTATATCCAAGACTCCTGGTGATCTCAAACGGGATAAATTCTTATTTGGTGAAAAAATGAGTGAATGTGTAAAGAGTACAACAATTCTCCAAAAACCTGCCCCAAACCTGTTAAAGAAACCTATACAAAAACCTTATAAGCCAAGACAAAATACTGTAACAAAAAATACTATCCCCCTCAACATCAAGGGACCCAGAGGAAGATGTTCAGGGGAAATCAAAATTTTCAAAGGCCGGCGACCAAGGTACAAGCACCGGCAGTGACTCGCAGTCAACCTCACAAGTCAAGGAATTACAGACAACAATGTGCCGAATACCCATAGAGGTAACACATTTTGCTGGTCGAATTAAACATTTTTATAACTGTTGCCATAAGCTTACAAAAAATAACACAATTTTATCGTGGATACAGGGCTATAAAATTCCTTTTATTGATAATCCAACTCAAAATTGCTTACCACTGAATGATGGGTTGTCAGGTTTAGAAGATAAGATTATGTCTATAGAAATTAAAAAGTTATTAAATTACATGCTATTTCACAGTATACTCCTGTAAAAGGTCAATATTTTTCTAGTATTTTTTGTATTCCAAAGCCTGATAAATTACATAGATTTATTTTAAATCTTAAGTCCGTAAACAAATTCATAAATCCTCCACACTTCAAATTAGAAGATATTCATACCTTATGCAAAATGGTGACTAAGGACAGTTATATGTATACATTAGACATACAAAATCCATACTATTTAATTAGTATTCATGATGATTTCAGAAAGTTTTTACGTTTTGAATATAAAGGAATCTTGTATGAGTATTTTTACCATTTGGATTGTCTACTGCACCATATACTTTTACAAAATTAGTGAAAACGATAGTAGAACATCTCAGAAGTCAAGGCCACATAAATGTTGCTGCCTATTTAGATAATCTTAAGTGCATACGACTCTCATATGCAGAGTGTCTAGACAATGTTCACAAGACTGTAAATTTACTCCAGTGTTTAGGTTTCGTAATTAATTTAAAAAAGAGTAATTTAATTCCATCACAAGAAAGAGAATATTTAGGTTTTGTCAAATACACAAAAAATGATATTAAAACCCACAGAAAATAAGAAATGTTTATTATCTGCAATATATAAATTTCTTAAATTAAACGACTGTTCTATTAGAGAATTTGCTGCCCCGGTAGGTAGTTTTGTATCTATAAGTATGGTAGTATCATATGGATTTGTATATACAAAAATATTTGAGAGGGGGAAATACATAGCTTTACAAAGATCAAATGGAGACTATGAAAAACAAATGAAAATAAATGAAAATGTTAGATTTATTATGGTGGCAAAATAAGATTAATACCGCATATAATCCAATAAAACAGTATCATTTTATATTCGAAATTTGGTCTGACGCGTCTAGTACGGGTTGGGGAGTACACTGTGATGGTAAAGTGGCACGAGGCTTTTGGTCTATTCAAGATAAACAAAACCATATAAATTATTTAGAACTCTTAGCAGCATATTTTGGTTTAAAATGTTTTGCAAAAAATATAAAACTTATTAAAATTATTGAGAATTGATAATACAACTGCAATTTTATATATTAATCGTATGGGAGGAGTTCAATGTCCTAAGCTTAAAAACTTATCTCGATCTTTGTGGCAGTTTTGTGAGAAGAGAATGATATAGGTTTTTGCCTCTTACATTAAATCAAAAGACAATAAAGAATGAGATGCTGAATCTCGAAATAGAAATATAGATGCTGAATGGGAATTATCACATGATAGTTTTAACAGGGTGGATCACAATGTTTGGCCAGCCAGACATTGATCTTTTTGCATCTAGGATTAATACCAAATTTATTAAATATGTGTCATGGCGACGAGAACCAGAAGCATGGAATATAGATGCATTTACATTAAGGTGGTCTGATTTCTACTTTTATGCATTTCCACCATTTTCAGTTCTTTTAAAAGCAATTCAAAAAATTAATAATTAAAAGGCATCATTATTTTCCCCGTTTGGACTGTCCAGCCCTGGTATCCTATGATGAAATCAATGATAGATTCGGAAGTAATACTTTCAACCTTCATCAGAACTCTTATCTTCTGCTTTCAGAACACCACACCCACTCCATGCTCAACTTACCCTGGAGGCATGCATATTATCAGGACAGCGTTCCAATTAAATAAAACTCCAGAGTTGGCATGTGATTTGATGTTAGTATTTCTGTCCTCAAATACATTATAGTATATTAGTATATTAATATATGTTTAAAACATTGGTGGCATTACTGTATGCAAAATAATCATGAAATCTATAGGGTGCATAAGTGCCTAATATAATAGCATATTTAACAGAGTTATATAATAAATGTTACAGTTATCAGGCCCTTAATTGCCATAGATCAACTCTTTCCTTAATAATAGGATCACATCTAGGAATAGATGAAACAATAAAAAGGTGGTTTAAAGGACTATATAGGCTTAGACTGCAAACTCCGAAATATAATGTGACATGGGATCCTTCAATAGTCCTAAATTGTTTGCAAAAATTGTATCCACTTGAATCACTTGCCTTAGATAAACTTACCAAAAATTGTGTTATGTTGATTGCCCTTAGCACTGGGAAAAGGATACAAACACTATCTTCAATTAAATTAAGGGATGAAGTGTGACTGAGACACATGTTACAATACTAGTTTCAGACTTACTTAAGACATCAGCCAATGACCTACCATATTTTAAGAAAACCCTGAGATTTGCCCAGCAATAACTTTATTATTTTACATTGACACCATTGGAAAACTGAGAGACCAGGATGAGCGAAAGTGGTATAGATACAAGCACATTTACACCACCTTCAACTAGACATGCCTCAACATCCAGTGGTCTAACACAAGGACTTACAACACATGACATATTAAAGAGAGTTGGATGGTCAGCAAACTCTTAAACATTTGCAAGGCATTATAATAGACCTCTGTTAAACAATAACTCTACCTATTTGCAAAAACAGTATGTAGGACAAACTCTACTTGATTAAAATTTGTTTTAAAAATATTTTTAATTTACTTTATTTACATATTATTACTACTTAGTTGTAATAACAACCTACTTTTAGTTTTTGTTTAGTAAAGTAACATTTTAATAAAGGTTGATTTTCAAGTTTAGTATTCTTTGAATGTTTCTCTCTTATAATTTTAATAAGTTCCAATTTAATGTGCATATGCAGTGAGAATCTCTATGTTTACTCATTAACTCTAAACATCTACGAGTTATCTCCGACTAAGCTCTTCATATAATTAAATTGAATTTCACTTAATCTAAGTTTGTTTAATTATGTAATAATATCATATATTTTTCGTAGGTGTAATTAGTGTGATTTCCAGTCGTCTCTCTATATACGAGGAGATTGAAGGCGACAGTAATAGGTAATAGATCTGTTAAAAACCTATTCTTCAAAATATCTTGCTACTTGCTTTTTATTATTTTATTTTCTTTATTGCCTATATCACTTCTATAGATATATAATGTTGCATTTACATTGATGGAGATTTTTAGCATCCGCATTTTAATCCACTCCTTTTAATATTTTTTTAGTTTAAAAACTAAACTAACACTAACTGATGTACGTAAATTAACTATGCATTTCTTCTTGAACATTTTTTTAAATTACTGAACTGAATTTGATTATAACCTAAAAGTAAAAAAATCTAATGTATTTTAAAATAAAACATGTTTAAAAATCGAACACCAGAACGTTCTATGCTAGATGCTATTACATAACGTATATTTCTAAAACACAACATGGTTCACAAGTAAGGGTAATAACTCATCGCAGAAGTGATATCGACAGTTTTCACTACGTTTAGTAACGCTCATGTTCGCGTCAATCATTTCCGCCCATCATGTACAATGGCTTAAAAAGCTCTGTTTCCATAATTGATAGTAAAGCTGTTACGAGTCGGTGGTAGAGACAGTTTATTGTTGTCAACGCTCTCAAGTGAGACTAAAGATTTTTTAACAACTATGATTGGTTCTTTAGAATAAGGGTGATAAACGAACACAATCCACCTGATGGTAAATGGATACTGTGGCTCATAGACATCTACAGTTATCCAGGTGAAAACGCATCTGCATAATGATTAAGAATCAATATGCAGATGCGTTGTCACCTCTGAGGACTAAAATAGAATGCCTCGTATCCAGTAAAAAGTGTCTGCTCCGGTTCTCTACACTCGGCATTCTTCTCAGTATCAGCATTTTACGCAACAGCATTAAGCTGCTATTTCACGCTGGTATTCTGTGAGAGCGTGGTTTTGCGAGGATTCGTGCTACAGCCATAATAGCCTTAGTTTAAAATATATCTACAGTACAGTACAGTACTACGTACAAATTTTGTCTTTTTACTATTATTGATTAAAACTAAATTTACGGATTCTATCGCGTTTAATTAACTACTTTTACTTATTTTATTAATTCCCGACGTTTCGGGTGCTTTACAGCACCCATGGTCACGGGGGTGGGGAACTTAGTCCCTGGGTGCTGTAAAGCACCCGAAACGTCGGGAATTAATAAAATAAGTAAAAGTAGTTAATTAAACGCGATAGAATCCGTAAATTTAGTTTTATTAAATGTGTAGTGTTCGCGTAAATTTAAGAAATCATTATTTTCCTATTATGTTATGATATATTTACGTCCCTATACTGGGTACATACCTCTTCTTATTTCAGAGAGGG